TATGATATTGAAAGTCATTTGAAAACTGAATATTGTACAAACGATTTTTTCGATAAATGACCATCATAAATGAATAAGAATAAGTATAACACACATGTACCTCAAAGTTAGTTTATTTATCCCTTTTTTAACCGACTTTTTGTTAGAAAATGGATACCTCAGGGATGGTCCCTGATACATTTAGCCCAGATCTGATAATGGGATCTATGATAAAATCTGCAAACTCAGTTTGTAATGGCATCTGCACGATTTTGAAGTCGGTTTTTTAAAATTACTTTTATTTAACAATTAATTATGAGTAGATATACAAAGCCGCTACGGGGCCACATAGAGAATTCAATGTGTAAGAGTGAGAGGTACATATTCAATGGGTAAGAGTGAACGGAAAATCATGCGATTGCCAAAAGGGCCTAAGCGTGTTTCTCGGCTACTATTGGTCCGAAACGGGAGAAAAACGGCATTATGTAGAGAACGTGGTATAGATGAACGGTGAAGAAAATAATCCTGCGCAGAACGAAAGTTAGAAGGGCCTAAGCATGTTTCTCGGTTATTACGAGTCCGATTGAAACGGGAAAAATGGCATTTTGTAGAGAACGCGGTATAGATGAACATTGAAGAGAAAAATCATGCGCAGAATAAAAGTCAGAAGGGCCTAAGTGTGTTTCTCGGTTATTAATGGTCTGATTGAAACGGGAAAAACGGCATTATGTAGATAACGCGGTATAGATGAACGTTGAAAAGAAAAATCTTGCGCAGAACGAAAGCCAGAAGGGCCTTAGCGTGTTTCTCGGATATTACTAGTCCGATTCAAACGGGAAAAACGGTATTATGTAGAGAATGCGGTATAGATGAATGTTGAAGAGAAAAATCCGTAGCGGCTTTGTATATCTACTATTATGTTATCAGTGTAAAATGGTTGACCCAAATTTCACTAATATTTTTAGAAATCAAGGCCAAAGCGCGATGTAATTTATATGAATTTTATCAGAGGACATCCAAAGGAATCAAATGAGTACATTAAATTTCTTTAAATTTTATTTTATTATAATATGTCAAAAGAAGCAACTTTACTATGGACACCAAGTTTGCAGCTATACAGTGTGAGTCACCAGACCCAATAAAGTTAAATCATTCAACAAATCTACATTTATTTTGATTTCTTTATTACAAATGCAGTACTGTTAATTCACTTTATTTTTTAATAGATAAGAATTAATCAGTACATATTTCCTAGAATTTTTTTTTTTTTTGATGGCGCTATTTCTTATATACCAAGGAGCATCGACAATATTCCTCAATATTTTGTTCTGGAATCTCTGTATTATTAGGATATTACTGTTTCTGGCTCAATACCCGAGCTGAATGGCATAAGTCCAAATTGGTTTAAGAACTTGTTTATACAAAGGAATTTTGTTCAGTCTATCCATAAAAGCTTGTTTTTTAGTTTTGATGGAGGTATCTTTCCAAATTTTTGATACTGTATGTCCAGCATTAACCCATGTTTCATCTAAATAAAATACCTGTTTATTCTGATTCCTTGCGTCCGCTATTTTCCTTAAATAATCATGTCTCCACGCAATGATTTCGACTTTCTGTCAAAAAGTTGTTTCTGTCACGTTTTTTGGAACGAAAATTGAATTCATGTAACATTTTTTCTATTTTATATTTCCAAGTGTAATTTTTTATTTCGAAAAAAAAAAGAATGTAACATTTGCCTTATTATATTCTTTACCTAAGTTTCAATAAAGGTTTTGTTGCTTCCTGGGGGCCATTTCGTATATGAAATTTCTCCAATAACTGTATCTTTTTGATTATGTTATACACTGTCCGCTTAGATACTCCATTATTGATCTCACATATAGTGGCTATTTTATCCACAGAAAGTGAAACAAAGTATTTTCGAAGATTATTAAATATATTAAATACGATATTTTTTCTTCTAAAGATAATGCGTTTCTTGGTCGTTACCTGCACTTACTTGCAATATTTTCTAGTGGACTCAGCATTCTTATACAACTGTAAAATTATAATACATATTAATCCAAAATTTTGAATCAATTAAAATACATACGATACGGCTATGAATAAATAAAGTCTGACTTATCTGTCAATAGAAAAGGTTTATTACAGTAAAAATCATGGAGACATGATTAAATCTTAACGAAAACTTTGATCAGGCTGATCAGATGTATTCCAATTTTCAATTAACTACAAATAAGCATTAAAGGATGATGCATAAATAAAATGTCTACCTCTTGAACCTGTACTACGTTCTGCAAATTACTTTCTTCTCTAGACTCTTATAGTACCACATTATTTTGAATAGTCGTATGGTGTATGTCATATCTTCTCCCAATTACCTCCATGGGTTATAGTAATTAAATAAAGAATGGGAAAAGGTAAAGTTGTAGATAAAAATATTAGATCAATAATTATAAAAGTATCAAATTATGGGAAATTATGTTCTGAAATCTGGAGATTGCTGCACATATAAAGATATAGCATTAGAAGTGTAATAAAATTTTAAGGAAAAAAAAAACAATTAAGTTACTCCAAAACCCTGTTACAAGAAGAAATCAAACTGACCGATAAAGACAGAAGCTTTGAATAGAATAATTAAAAAGAACAGGCCTGCTAATTGCCAATTAAGTGTACTATGGAGTGATGTAGAACGATCTATTTCAAGGTCTTTATGCTAGATTAGATTGGGAGTTGGACGTTATTTGTTCTTGTCCACCGCAACCTTTTCAGATCTATTGTGGGACTCCGTTTGTTTTAGAGAATGTCGTCTAGCCTGGTCTTTTTTATTAGACTTAGTAGCTTTTACAGTGGCTCCCGCATATAGTTGCATGCATTTGGCTTTTCTTCGCCCAATGTTAGAAACCTCATTACAGCCAGGCCTTCACATTGACACAGGACGTGATATGATGTTTCCTCTTCTTCTTCACAGAACCTGCACAAAGTTGCTTCTTCTGCTGGACTGATGACACTCATGTGCCTTTTAATACGACTGTGTCCGGTAAGAAGACCTACTATTATCCTAACAATTTGACGCTTTTGATCCAGTAGGTCTTTCGTGAACTTGGCTGATGGTTACTTGATGAACTCTGTTTAGTCTGTTAGTTGTTCCACCATTCCTGAGATTTTTTTGCATCCATTATTTAATGGATGCTTTGCACTATGCCTTAGCAACTCCACAGAAGGGTTCGGGGCCTGTCATGGCCTTATCTGAGCCTTCTCGGGCTAATTCGTCGGCCTTTGATATCCCTCATGGCCTGGCACCCAGGCTAGGGTCACCTTGTTTTGACTACTTAGCTCTGCCAGGTCTTCTAGACAGTCTTCCACCAGTCGTGATTTGATTTCTGTTGAGAGAATTGCCTTTAGAGCTGCTTGGCTATCAGAGTATATGGCAATAGTTTTGCCTGATACTTGCTGATTTACTATTTCTGTTGTATGGCTATTAGTTCAGCCTGGAACACTGTTGCATATTTTCCTAAACTCAGCGAAATCGTTGTTTTCGACTTGGGTCCATAGATTCCAGCACCGGCTCCTTCCTTGGTTTTTGAACCATCTGTGTACCAGACGAGTTCAGCCTGTACGGGAGGTCCCTGTTTCCAGGATTCTCGGGCTGGTTTTTGAATTTGAAAATTTCTTTCAAATTTGTATGTAGTTATGGCTCTATAAGTAGACATAGCTAGAATATTAACCCATTTTACTTGCTGATATAGCCTTGTGTGGTTTTGGTTACCCACGCCACTGCGCTAAGAAAATTTAGTTTTGGTCGTACAAGATGACATCTTTCAATTACATGTTTTATGCTAAAGAAAAACCGTTATTGACCTTAAAACAAAAGAAATGGATTAAAGTGGGCAAGAAAACTTAGACATTTAAATTTAAAAACGTGAAATAGAATACATTAGAGTATACATCCGGGTTGTATGGTGTAGGGATTAATGTCTGCCAAAGCTGTAGGAGGATCAAATTTTATAGATGGTATTGTCAATACCGATAAATATTTAAAAAATTCAATAATGTTGCCAACAATAGAAGTAATCAGGAGAGGATTTTATTTTTCAGCAAGATGGCGCTGCATACATTAAAGGTGTTAAAATTGTTTTATGATAATAATAATGGGTGTCAAGTCGACCTGATTTATTCCCTATAGAAACATTATGACATAAAATTAAAAGCAGTTTCGTGCAGTATCTGCAAGATCTGTGCCAAAATTGAAGGACAAGCTTTATGGGGTGGGTTCACTGCACAAAATTGTTGTTATAAATGCAATATCCTAAAGAAATCGCCGTTATCGAAGCTAAAAGTGGTGAAATTTTGTTAAATCTACGAAAATCATTGTTCGTCTAAAATATTTCTGACATATATAACAGTTTGCTATTCGAATTAGATTTTAAACGAATTTAAATTGTTGACAAAATATTTAGCAACAAATACAAAGTTTTATCAGATGTACAATATTTCTTCTCTTATAGTGTCAACACCAAAAATTTTAAAAGTCTGCCATTTGAAACGGAACGGAATTCGTATATGTTATCATAAGTTATCACGAAAAGGTATTGTGTACGTCAATCTTACGGTACCTAACAACTACTTTGCACCACAATTACTCAGATTTATGAGCATTGTGGGACACCATTTATACTCATATTTCATCAAGATTTTGTTCATAAACTGAAACCCTTGTACCAATAAATAATAAGTTCTAACTTAAACCAAAAAGTACTAAAATAATGGTGTGCTATGTTACTCATTACTATGATGTAGTTCTTCATCACGTATGAATTTTTAAATTACCTGTTCCACAGTATCCGCCTCCAGATCCTGATGCAAATACCCAATTCTAATTTTTATAAATAGAGAGGGCTATATATTGTTGCTTGTTTTGGAATCCAAGTATTTACATTCTTATATTCAAATATGGAAATCAAATAATACTTATTTTGCTGTTAATATATACAATATAATAAACTTGACTTTCTTTTCAGGTGGGTCTGCCTTTGTGCTTGGTGGGTAGCGAGAGTAGGTTTGTCCTGGCCTCCAGAAAAAATGAGAAGTTTGAGCTCTGTCCTCCATGTTTGTGCATGGGCGTTGCCAGCAGCACAAACTGTTGCAGCTTTAGTTAGAAGAGATGTCGACACAGATGATTTAACAGGTAATTATCACTGTTTATCTTTATTGGGCTTGAGATTCTTGAGCTTCCATGTTATTGACTATTGGTAAAAAATGTATGATTACTGTAATCAAGAAAAAAAGTATTTTAATCTACTTCGTGTTGCTTGCTGAACAAAAAAATGAAATAAAGTAAGACAGTAATCAACTTAGTGTATTTTTATAAGATGCAGAAAACATCACGTTCGCATAACATGGTTGAGTACATTTTGCATGTTAATCAAACAGATTGCTTATCTTGTTTGTTTAACGGAGAAAAAAGGAAAAAAAAATACTCGGACAGTTAATCATTATGCCGGTCCAAAAACGATTAAGTATTTGTTTTAAGACTGCCTTCTATCCTTAGGAAAAAGTATAATCACCCAATAATCGAGTTCCTTCCATAATCACAAGTTTATGTGTTCCTCTATAATTATCGGTCATCGATATCCAATTTTACGAAAGTCCATCACAAAACCGGTGCGAATGGGCCCTCGCATCAGGACCGAAGTAAGGAGAAACTATTGATGTGTAATTAATATAATAATAAATTTGACAGAACTGACGCTTAAATTATCATAAATGACACTAAAAATGGCTATTTTCTTTATTAAATTTCTTATTTACCAAACCGAAAAAAAATAATAAATGGTTATAGATAAAAAGCAACTGACTTCACTTTGTAATTTGTCGTGTTTTATTTTATACAGGGTGTCCCATTAGTGCGTAATTGTTCAATATTTCAGTTTGTTTTATAGACAAACAAGTTTCAAATAAAAGTTATACGGATTTAATAAATATGTATTTTAATATTTTTAGATATACAGATTGTTGCGTTTTTATTTCAGTTTTAGAATGATTTAGTAATACTGTATTCAACCCTTATATATTTTTTAAAAAATTACAGGATTGCCAAGCAATTATTTTTTATATGAAATTATAAAATGATGCAGACTCAAAATTAAATTATCATAATTTAGGTAGATTTACAATGATTTAAAAATGGTTTAAAATACAGACTTAGAGGATAGTAAGCTAACGAATTGTGGTGATTGAACTGACATATTTTATACAGAGTGTTTTGCAAAATACCTTAAATATGGCCAATTTTAAGTTCAGTTTACTCAATTTTTCCAAATGCAACACCCTGTTTACTATTTTAACATAAAATTCCTTATAAATTTACCTATCCAACGATTATAACATGTTATCCAATAACACATATACAGGGTGTCCCATTAGTGCGTAATTGATCGATAGCTGTTTTATTATTAAAAATGTTTAATATAAAAGTTATATAATCACATTTAGTAATTATTCTTGAATATAAAGGGTGGTCTATAAACGAGGAGCTGGCCAAACATATACATTTTTAAAGCAAAACACCCTGCAGATTTGACTGTTTTCACATCGTCAAAAAATTTTAATAGACTTCATTAATTTGCTATATTGTATATAGGGTGTGTCAAAATGCGAGGTTAAGATTTTCTAAATTTTTTAAATGAAATACCATGTATGTTAATGTTAATTAATACCGGGTATTCAATTTAAAAAAATTAATAAAGTTGAAACCTCGTGTTTTGACACACCCTGTATACAACATAGCAAAGGAATGAAGTCAATTAAAATTGTTTGACGATGTGAAAATAATCAAATCAAATCAAAATAATCAAACACTACCTGCAGGGTGTTTTGCTTTAAAAAAGTATAGCTTTGATCAGCACCTTGTTTATAGACAACCCTGTATATTTAAGAATAACTGTTAAATGTAGTCATACAACTTTTATAATAAAAATGTCTTCGTATTTCCAATAATAAAACAGCTATCGATAAATTACGCACTGATGGAACACCCTGTATATGTGTTATTGGCTAACATGTTAGTATCGTTGGCTAGGTAAATTTTATGCTAAAATAATATATAGGGTGTTGTATTTAAAAAAAATTGAGTAAATTGAACTTACAGTTCATCAAATTTCTAGAGGTGTTCGACGCCCAGACAGAGAACGCGCTACGTGTGACTAAGATAGCTATTGTACAGTCTGCTAAACAAGTTATTTTAAATATTTTTAATATTTTTAGGTAATTAAATTTTAAAAGTGTGGAATAGTTTAGGGATTAAATTGGTCTGATTGGACTTTCTTAGAACGTTTTTAAAAGCAGCTAAAGATAGTATGTAGAATTGAAAATAATTATTATGCCATAAAAGGTGTTTTGGAATTCCTTCAACCTTTTGAAATTGAGTCAGAAAATATAAATTTTATAGGATAGCGGAAAATACCTATAATTTTTTGTAGGCCTTTGTAAATCGTGGAAATAGTTTATATTTTATTTCTACCTTATTAAGGAAAATGGTACCTATTATTAATAACGGTTGTTTCTGAAACATTACTAAAATTTTCGAAATTTTGTTTTTCTACAAAATAATAAACTATACTATTTAGAAAAAAATTTATTTCTCTTATATATTTATAAAAAATAGGGGAATATTTACATTTCTTGATCTATTAAACAAAACGATAAATTATCTCGACGAATGACACCATGTTCTAGTACGGAAGCTAGCTTTACATTTTTATTGGTGGTTTCATGGGTTTCATATCAATTTTTTGTAATTGTAGTTTACACGTACATATACCTCTTAACACTTGTTTGCTTTATTAAAAAAGTATGTTGTTGTGATTTACGTCGAAATAAGTCAAAAACAACTTGAAACCCCATATAAAATCAAAAAGGAGAAACGGAAAAAAATTGAGCCTGTAAATGAACACAACTCAGAAACAAAAATAGCTATCTAATAATAAAAAAATAAAATTTGATTCTTGTGCAGCTTCATCTATATCATTTACTGTTTTTGGTTTTTTAATGGTTTTTCTTGGTGATGAAAATTCCGATATCTCACGGTTATCGATTCTTTTTTACTCTCCAGAAATGCGGACGACAGTGTTTTTAGATACTCCTGTGGCTGCAGCAACACGATCATTTATATTTTTAAATGGTATTGAAGGTGAATTAAAGTTTCCTTCTCTTCTCATAAACTCTATAACATTGGCTATTTTTTCGCGAGATTGACTGTTAATCACGCGGCCTCTTAATTTGCTATTAAATTCCATACTTAGGTTCTATTAAACTGTAATGAGCAAAAAACACAAACGAAAATAAAAGAAATGTTTTAGCGAAATTTACATCTGACATTTACGTCTGAATGAAATAGTGAAATACTTGATGCGCAGAGTGTACTTTCATTGCGTAAATCCGTCGGGATGCCTGTCAGTAGTGCTTTCTCTGTCTAGCCGTCGAAAGCCTCTAGAAATTTGATGAACTGTAAAATTAGCCATATTTAAGACATGTTGCAAAACACTCTGTATAAAATATTTCAGTTCAATTATCACTATTCGTTAGCTTACTATCTTAATAAGATCTCAAAAACCTCAGTTACCGTTTGACAAAAATAGTTTAAAAGTTAAAGCTCATTTTTCAAAAAGCATTAAAGATAGAGAAAAATAGACACTAGCATCAAACACTAGCACAGACATACCATCTGGACATCTGTAGTACTGTGCAAAATTTCACCAAAATCGTAGAAGGAAAAAAAATATTTCGAATATGAAATCCGAAATCGACGAAAATGGAACTCTTGGAGAACATGGTTTTTATTGCTTGGGTCGATAGAGCTCCCTAATTACTTCATTTGGAGGTCTGTCCTATAACCTACGGGTAATTTTGCTCTATATCTTGTAGACCGTCAGGTAGTGAAAGGTTTAGGTACCCAATTTTCGCATACAAGCCTCGAAGAGGGTTGAAAAGTACATAGATTTTGAGTAAAATGAAAGGAAATTTACGAGTGGCTCTTGGAGATAACACATGGAAAATTTGATTTTTCCTAACAGAAATTAAAGGTATTTGTTGCCCATATTTTCACGCAAGCCGTGTTCACTAAATGATTAACTAATAAAACTAAGCTTGGGAAAACCAAATACTTTAATCTTGCAAGTGGCTAAAGGGTTGAAATCTTGTAAGGAAAAATCGATATTTTTTACCGATTTTTCCACACAAGCACATCGAAACAAATTGGCTTGAATGACTCGAATGGATAAGTGCATTTTGGGGTCGGAAAATGTTTCTGTTAAGGCACATCTTCAAGAAACAAGTAACATCTGTCAAGAAATTTAAATAATATCCATTTATTTATATTTGTAAGTTTGGTTAAAACTACCTATTTTGAGCGCATAAAGCTGTGGTATAGTAAGGACAGAATTTGGAAAGGCTTTTGGTAGGTAGAGAGGTGGTAAACGTCAAACTCTGTCGAAGGATTTCAAGAATTTCGCGATGTTTGTTCGCCATTGTCGTATCGTAGAATAAAAATAATACCTAACATTTTAAGTTATTACCGGCGGAATCACACAAACGTATCTATTTATGAACTACAAATAATTATTTAAACAAGTAATAATATCCCAAATCATAATTTTACCAAATTTCAACAGCTCTTCACAATTTATTGAACTATTTACACGAAATTATTATTAGCATCTATAAAATCATTTTCTACGCCAATGTTTTGCGTTCACTTCGGTTAGCTCCGCAGCAAAACTGTCAAATCATGCATATGAAGTGGGAGAACTGGCAAAAGTCTTTACCGACTTCTGTCCCTGCTTTACCTCCATGTGCACGCAATTTTCAGACACCCTGCATAATATAGTTTTGGGTAGTATCCGTCACTATAGAAGTAGATTTGTTTTTTTTACACCAAACATAAGGACTTAAGGTTGGCGTTCGCACATAGAAATCTGTCGTATAGACGCGGTTGACTTTAAACGAAGCTATCGGGAAAAATATACTTCCTGGCATTAATTTTAATACTGAAAATCGTTCATAAAGTGTGCCTACAGATTGCAAAGACTTCTTAACAAACGGAGTTGTTCTAAAGTACTCGAAAAATGATTTTGACTTTTGGTATCTAAACCACATATAATCGCATTGACTTACCTAGGAATTTTCTTC